TTATATTTGCAGTCTTTTATAATTGATATGGTCAGATATATTTTAAAATTAATGTATTTTAAATTTACACTTTTTTTTCATGATCAGCCCAGTTCCAGCTTGCATTAATTTTTCAATTTTCTATGTTTAGAAGGAAAAGAAAAAATCCTTTTTTGCTCAATGTGGCTATTTTATCAAGAAATAAATAATTGTATTCTTTATTTAAAAAAAAATTTAAATTCTTGAGGCATAAAGGTTTTTCTTTTCTTTTTTTTTTCCCCTCAAGTAGTTTACCTATGGGGAAAAATACTTTGTGCTCAGGACACCTATTTATTTTTATTGTGGACACCTTCTCAGGGCAGTCACTTCATGGAGAATATTGATTTCCACGTCACTTAATTCCCAAATCTTTGCCAAAGTAATACTGAAGAAGAAACTGGAGAAGTTAAGCCTTTGATTATTTTAAAATATTGTCAAAGAAGTAAAACTGTTAACAAAAAAGAGGCAAATGTTCCTGCCCAAGGCAACTCTCAATGTAGCTCTGAAGAGTGCAGCCTGCAAGTGATTATGGTAGAGAAAATTGCAGAGGGTCTACTAGTTTTGTTAAACTGAAGAATAATATTTTATGGTGATGCTAAGAAAAGATCAGTTCATTTTGGAATTATTTCCCAATGAGAGATGTAGTGATGAAGTGAATCATTTTTAAAAGTGGAAATAGAATAGAGGTTTTTATGAGGGATTTGGTGATGGGAAAACCCTGTATCCTGAGTTATCCCCTTTTCTGTCTTACATAAATTAGTAAGCACTTGTGAGGGTTATTTCTACATTTTGGAAGAATACTAAACAAATTTTAGAATCTGTTTCTTTTCTACTAGCTATTTGAGGATAATCCATATGGTGAGATAGTTATTGAAACCTAGAAGCAAGATGCATGTATCAAAAACAGAAATAACCTTACAGAGATAATTATATCATGGATAAATGGAGGTTGTTTGATTGATTTTCCCTGCTTTGATTTTATGATATCAGATAGGGTCCACGTTATTTATGTATCTATACATTATTTATGTATTTATAGCAAGCATATAGGATTGGAATGAGCTCAGAGTAGATGTTGAAAAACAACTCAGGAGGCTGAAGAGACTATTTCAGTAGTTAGAGAGATGAAGAGTTTTAGCAGCTTTCTTAGGGTTCTCCAGAGAAACAGAAGCAATTGTGCATACATATATGAGGTGGGGGGAAGTGAGGGAGAGATATTTATTATTAGAAATTTTGATTACATAATTAGGGAGGCTAGCAAGTCTCAAGAGCTGCAGATAGAGTTGGCAATCTGGTGACCCCGGAGGACTGATGGTTTAGTTCTGGTGCAAGCCTGAGGAACTGAGAATCTGGATAGCCAGTGATATAATTCCAGTTTGAAGGCTGGCATTCTGGGGATCCAGGAAGAGCTGATGTTTCAGTTAGCATTTGAAGTCAGAGAGAAAAGGCTGATGTCCCAGTTCAAAGGCCATCAGGCAAGAGGAATTCTCTCTTGTTTGTAGGAGGGTTGGCCCTTTTGTTCTATTCAGGCCTTCAGCTGATTGGATGAGGCCCACCCACATAAGAGAGGGTAATCTGCTTTACTCATTCTATTGATTTAAATGCTAACTGCATCCAAAAAAATTCTCATAGAGACTTCAAGAATGTTTGACCAACAAAAGGGCACCTCATGACCCAGTCAAATTGATATATAAAAGTAACCATCACAAGGTTAAATCTGGAATTTATGACTTGGAAATGAATTAGTTATAGGTGAGAAGGAAAAGGAAGGGTCAAAAATGACTCTCAAAGAGTGAGTTTGAGCAACTGATTAGTCTCATTTGCTAGACAGAATACATGAGGAAAAGCATATGTAGTAGTTATGTGAAGTAACGAAGGTAAATGACTCAACTAAGCTCTTTTTGATGTATCTAAATATAATATCTGTATTAGGGCTTCTCAGTTGACACAGTGGTAAAGAATTTGCCTGTCAGTGTAGGAGATGCAAAATGCACAACTTCAATTCCTGGGTCAGTAAGATCCCCTGGAGAACAAAATGACAACCCATTCCAGTGTTCTTGCCTGGAAAATTCTATGGACAAAGGAGTCTGGCAGACTACAGTCCATCGGGTCGTGAAGAAGAGTCGGATGTGATTGAGGGACTGAGCACACATGTGTACACAGATACATGTGTACATATGTAGAACTGTAAGTGTTCTGATTAGAATCTCAAGTTCTTTCCTACTGACTTTGTAATAATAACAACTCTAAGTCAGAGGGTGGAGGAAATGTGTATTATTTATTAAAAATATAAAATGGTGACCATGCGTGAAATTAGGTCCTGAGGAGACACTGTAAAGGAACTGGACTGAGCTTAGCATAGCTGCACCTAGACAGGGCTTTTGATGGTCTCCACACAACGTTCAGTTCAGTCCAGTCGCTCAGTCGTGTCCGACTTTTTGTGACCCCATGAATCACAGCATGCCAGGACTCCCTGTCCATCACCAACTCCTGGAGTTTACTCAAACTCATGTCCATCGAGTCAGTGATGCCATCCATCTTCTGTCGTCCCCTTCTCCTCCTGCCCTCAATCCCTCCCAGCATCAGGGTCTTTTCCAGTGAGTCAACTCTTCGCATGAGGTGGCCAAAGTATTGGAGTTTCAGCTTCAGCATCAGTCCTTCCAATGAACACCCAGGACTGATCTCCTTTACAATGTTACCTCCTGTTATATTGCCAGAGTTGTGACTCAGATTTTGGAGAGTGATCTAGAGTCTGATTGTTTAGTTGGGCTTGCTGAGGATCAGGTGGTGGTGGTTGGTTTAGTCATTAAGTCATGTCAGACTCTTGCAACCCCATGGTCTGGAGTCCACCATGCTCCTCTCCTCTCTGTCTCTGGGATTTCCCAGGCAAGAATAATTGTGTTGCCATTTTGTTCTCCAGGTGATCTTCCCAACCCAGGGATCAAGCCCGCATCTCCTGCACCCAGACAGATTCATTACTGCTGAGTCATGGATGGACGTCACTGAGGCTCAGACCATATTCCTAATTGTGGGAATAGTCTTTCCCTAGAAGGTGTACATAAAGTTAACCATCCTAATGGGAAATCAACACTAGAGAAGGAAATGAAAAGTGAGGACATGAATCTAAAATCCTGGATGATTATGCTTATTTTATAGTGAAGATGGCTTGTGGGGCACACAATTCTCGTTCTCTCTTCAGCTAAATACAAGCTTTGGAACCCCTTGCATTATTTATGTACTGTATTATTATTGTTTTTATCTACATTAAATGTATATCATAAAGGAAGTCAATAAGTGTACCTAATGTGTTAATAATGAGTTAAAACCTAAATGCAAATATGCAAAATACATCAAAATAGAGGAAAAAGTATTTGTTAGCTCATGAGATGGTAAAGAAATAAACAGAAATAAATGTTTAGTCTTTGATGGTTTGAATTGTCAGGCAGAAAATATACGCTGTAGTCGTATTAAGAGGACTGATGTAAACCAATGGAGAATTCTACTAGAGAGGCTTTCATTCCTTAAAGAGAAAAAACAAAAACAGGGACAGAAAAATCCCAAAACAGTGCATGACTGGCTTCCCAATTTACTTGGTTGTCATTATCTGGCTTCCCAGAACATCTGTCTAGTTTGAATCATCCAGCAAGGCTCAGAGTGCTTCATTGTTAACTGTTTTTTGACCAAGATGAATTCTCCCCAAGGTATAAGGATTTGTTGGGAAGTTTGGTTTACAGTCAGTCACTTAACTATACTTTGTAAGTATGGTTTAGTAAGCCTATATTAGTTTAGTAGCTAAGATATATTGAATAAATTGACATGAAAATTTTATTTAAAAAGCAAACAGAGTAATTATAATTATTATATTTTTATAAGTGATTTTGTCTGTTTTGTGTGTGTGTGTTCTGGCTCATCTAATTCTGTTAACCATGTCAGGGATAGAAATTAGTATCCTCTTCTTTGTAATATCATTCATTATGAAAAGCACTTGTTTTTGTTAGCAGTGAAAGGAATTACATGATATTATTTATCTATAGAAAAGACCATAGGTTGGATTCCAAAAGTTAGCAGAAAGAAAAGAAAACACATATAGTTAAAATTACTTTTAGGAGTAAATTGGAAATCAATATTCTATGTCTCAGTAAGTTCAACATAGCCAGTTTTCCTTCCAGCATTTCTTTTCTTGAGTATCAGAAGTAGTTGGCTTTCTTTCAAGAGTTATACTATGTGAAAATGTGCATCTTTAAATCCTGTAAGCATGGTAAACAAGGCTAGTTGCTCATATTCTGAGATGCACCAATACTTGGACCTTTGTGCTCTTGAGGGCAGAGTAGATTAACATTTCCTATTTGATGTTGTATCCAGGGCATACAAATTGGCTGACAGAATCTTTGGCACTGTTTCTTTTCAACTTATACAATTGAAGTTGTATAAGTTACATGTGTTTATGATTCAATTTCACTCTAGTTTTGGTTCTATTTGGTTACTCTTTCCTTATAAACTTTTATAGGCAGAGACACTGTCATAGTGTGGAGAAATGTTTTAGAGTCGAATTTGAACATTTGTAGATGTAAGTTTGAGGAATGGTATAAGTTTATTTCATGATAAACTGGCCTCGGGAGCACTAAAAATATTGATATTTGGAAAGAATATCAATTGCTAATGATTCATTAAAAAGGAGGGAACAAAATATTTTTCTAGAACTCTATCACTATATTATAATAAGTCTGTTTTAGACAATGACAGTCACATACAGGTCCCTGAAATCAATACTTTAGTTTCATTCATTGTTGTTGGAAAAATGCTAAGTTCCAAAGCTTTATTAATAACATAGGACATTCAATTCTAGTTATTATAATTTATTTATGTTTTATATAGTACTTAGTGAAAACTGAATTAAATAGTTGCAAAATTAGTAATATTAATTTCTAGTCTATATGGAGAAATAAACAAGTAAAAGCAATAATCAATGTTTTCTTCTGTAGCGCATAACTCAACTGGCTTCCCTGAGGCACTGCAGTTCCAGCAGAATTCTGCTCATTGATTACAGATTCACCTGACTTAACTTGATAAATGATTTTGCCCAAGCCTCCTGTCTGAGAGGCCTGTTCAGACCTTGTTGATATAAAAATTTCACTGCCCTTTTAACCACTAATGCCAACATTATTGGTGATTCTTTGATTTGCATGCTGGTAAGTGTCAGAGTAACAGTATTTTATAAGCTCTTTGGCAAATAAGTTTATCTGACTTTGTGAAATTATGTGAAGAAAACAACACTTTATATTTAACATGATTCACAATTAGTCCCAGTAAGTTTTGAAAGTGTTAGGCATAGGTTGATTTGGGAATGGTGAATTTCTGGTAGCTTTTTATACTGGTAATGTGCAAAATACATTCTACTATTTTGGAAGCCTTTACCATAAAACCTGGAACACTGAATGGCTTATTTTTCGGGATACTACAAATTTTCCTTCTGAGATAGTTCACCATGAAGCAGTTCTAATTATAGGTTGTGTACCCATGACAAATGACTGAAAATTAATTATTCTCTATGTGAGAAATATAACCTAGAAATGGATTGTTGCATTATTTCCATCCTATGGCTTTTTTGATGATTGATGATAAAGAGTGTTTATATAGAATATCCCATGTTCACTTACATACATAATGCACTTAAATGAATTTAACAAAAATGTTCCAAAGCTTAACAAAACTTAACAAAAATGTACCAGTTTCTAAGTCAAGGACCAAACCCTGAAAAATAGCTTCTGGAATCCCCTTCTCTTGGTGTACCACAGGAATAAAGCTTTAAAACTGAGTGTTAATAAAAATTTTTCACACTTTTACCCCCATCTATCAATATGCAGTTAAACTATTTATACCTTAAAGTCATGTGGAATCCATCTCCTAAGAGCAGGTGGTCTAGTGGTTACCTTTTAGGATCTTCAAGGAAGATCTTCAAAACAATAGAATGGCTGATAGCTACCTAGACAAACTTTGACTTCTAGAATTGGTTTAACCAATATTTCTTATGTTTGACTGTGGGTCCCCTTACCTTTTCATTTTATGTAATACCTGTTAATACAGAAACATTCTTCAAGGAAAAAAATTATATATATGTATGTAGGACTGGTGGCAGGACTTAGTCTCAGGACTGTTATTATTCTTGAAAGATCATATTTATAATACAGTCTAAGACACTTAACAGTTTAGAATACTAGAGGAAAAATAAGCATTCTAATGAGTTAAATTATTAGATTAATTGAAGATTATAAAGCACGTGATTTTTGGTTTCCTTCCTTGCAATTGAAGATCTTTTTGAAGTTTATATATTGCTCTTCTCTGTCAATAAGTAGATCATCCTATGAAAGTTTCCTTTGCTTTTTATAGGTGAACATCTTGCAGTAGTCAGGAGTCGTTACTCAGATGGGATTTTTATTGTGTAAGGTGTTAGACTGAGAAGTACAGTGGGTTAAGGAAGGTGTTCAGATTGTCTGGAAGTATTTTACTATTGTTAATGATTTTTTGATGACAGTATTTTGTTGTTATAAAAAATACAATTAACTAATGATTTTGATTAGTTTAAGTTGTTATTGTAATTGTAATTGCATCAACTCTCAACATAGAATAGAGCCTATTGAGTTATCATGAATTGACTGGAGTTTCACTGGGATCATTTTTTCTCTAGAACTGTCACCCATCAAGTGGTAGATATTCAATAAATATTTGTTAAAAAAAATTAAATACAGAGACCTGGTCCCTATCTCCCTGGTGATAGTTTACCCGTGATGAAGGGAAGCTGTATAAAGGAGAGTTTTCTGGTTAATTCCAACCTCTATGTTTTGTTCATCAGAATGCATGATGCTCATCTGCTGATTTACAGGAGTGCTTCTTCATTATACATGGACTGCACATCCTCTGATACTCTTAAGAGCTGAGCCTTTCCAAATCACATTTAATAGTCTGGATTTGGCATTGAAATTAGACTGGAATACACTGATGCCTATCACTGCTGATAACTGCATCATCCTATTTTTTTCTCTCCTTAAGAATAACAACAAAAACAATCGATTTACCTTGGTAAAGTGCTTACTTTTTATTAATGTAACTTTTTAAAAAGAGCTGTACAATTCTGACACATTAGGTTGGAATATTGCTGGTAATATATCCTGTATATAGCCTCATCTGACCAATGCGTCTGTAACTCACAGTGCCTTTTCTTATTATTGAAAAATCTTTCCCTTTCAGCTGAAAGAGTATAAAAAGTCTAAGTAAGAAAGGATCTGTTCTGTCCTCTATTTAGGCTTAGAAATACACCCTTTAAAAATAACACTTTTTACTGTGAAGACATAGAATCTAAACAGTCAAATTACATAAAAGTACTCCTTTATTCTGATATACATTTATTACTTTATGAACTATGAGCAAGATATATTCATTCACATTGAAGATGAAACTGCATTTAACAAAAGCAAATTGAACTTTGCAAAATAATTAACACCACTTCCCCTCCTCATGCACATAGTAATCAGTTTTATAAATTAATGGCTAATGAGACTTTTATTCTTTTGACTGTATTCAGCATGCATTTGGTGTACTTTATCTCATTTTTATTAGCATCATTTTCTTCTAGGTCTTTCAGTCATAATTTATTTTAAATTTTATCTAATTGGAACTTTGGTCATGTTATCCTAAATCCTTTCTTTCACAGGACAGGGTAAAACTAAATAATATTTAAAAGAATTTAGAAACTTTAAAAATAAAATCCAAATATATTTGCTTTCTAAAAAGGGTATGTCTTTGCCCATAACACATAGCATACTACAATTAGGTTTTTATATAGACTCTTCTTGAGGATCTTTTCCATTAGAAAAGGATGCTCTCTAGAGCCCTTATATGGTCTCTTAATTAATAGCCTAGAACCCACACTTATTCCATCTGAACCCCCCTTCTGAATGTTCTAGATAGGAAATTGTCAACAGATTGGCTAAATCTGTCCCTCGGTTATATCTGATTTGCCCTGAATAGTGAACAGTGTTGACCCATAATATATTACACAAAAAAATAAAATGAGTTTATGACATTTGAATGTTGGAAATTTCCCACAAAAATTGAGATTTTTGGTTTCTCTAGAAAAAGTGGAAGATATGGATCTATATCCTATTGGGCAACAGTCTGCTGGAGTGGGTGGTTGCCCCTTTTAGATGAGGTAAGGGCGCTCTTGTTTACTTCAGTTTCCACCTTCCCTATTTCGCATATATTATGGCTGGTGGTCAGTTGACACTGGCACTCATCTTCTTTTCTTTTCTTTTTTCATGCCTAGCACCTGCCTGATCCTGTGGACACTTGAGGCTGTGACTCCTTATATCTTTTTGCTTCACTAGAACTTAAATGCATTGTGGCCAGCACCACTAGGCACTAATGAGTTATTATAAACTACTTTGAAATGTGCTTTCTGTTCCAAGTATGATTCTTATAACTAAATAGTTTGTATTTCAGGCAGTGTGTGAGAGGAATGAATCTAATGGTTAAGAATTTCAGGTTGCGTGATCTGTAGAGGCGATACTTTAAGGCTAACAATCTGTTTAGATGCCTCACCCATGCATTGACAAATATACTCTCCCTGATTAGTTTAACTCCCTTGATTCCCTATCAAGTGCTCTATTCATGATTCACTCTGGTGTCTCTCAATGAATGCAAGCCACAGAGTGTCTGCCCTTCTCACACAATCCTTATAAAGCTGGTAACTACCACAGCGCCTACACTGAGTCCCTGTTGACAAGATTGACCAAAATTTCATCAGTTGGTGACAAAAAAAAATGCAACATAGAAAATGGTTTTAAATGTAGCTTTGGAGAACAGGCCACTTGGGAGGGTTCCAATGAGCTATAATTCGTTTAAGAAATTGAGAGCGGAGGAAGATTTAAGGCATTTGAGGAAATGCTTTTGTGTGAGTTTTTGGAATCTTGATCAGGGAATATTGTTGGTGTGGTAAAAATTGAAAGAGATACAATGACAATAGAGACTTTGAGAGAAGTTCTTTCTGAAATATTTAAAATCCCAGTTCCTATTTGAAATCTAACAAGTAGTGACTATTAGCAATAAGTGTGCTTCATTTGTACCCCAAGAGTACAGTATTGTGACTCAGTGCCCCCAACATCAGTTCTTTCTCCATATAGGTGAATAATGACTTAAATGTAGTCTGTGTTTAGGAAAGACTTATGACATGTGTTATAAAACCAGAGTAGCTTTTCTTTGTACAGTAAAGAAATCTCATCAGCCTATGTGTAACCATTGTATTCATCAAGAGAATGGGCAGTAAAGAAGATATATGCAATAGTGTAATCTTTTCATTCTCTTTTCTCGTTTGTAGCTCTCATTGTCATGCAGGAAGGTGCACTCAAATCTCCAGTATTCTGTTTTCTGAATAGTGCTCAGTTTTCTTGACTGCTCCATTTGGGCATCAGAGCTTTCTTTCACTTTCGGACTTTCAAATGCCACATAACTTTCTCATGAAGTGCAGAGGATTTTAAGATCCAGAAGCACTGGTATAGAGAAGGGTATTAACACTCACTCATTAAACTTGACGTTTGACCTTGAAGAGTCTGTGTATATATTAAATCAATATGTACTTTTCTTCACTAGGCTGAGCTTCTAGAACCTAACACTGTGTAGGCTGGATAAGATGCTTGCTTTCCATTGTAATCTAGAGTGATAAAAATGATCAACCTAACTTGAGTAATTCACTTGATTCAGGAGAGAAATAGAATACGATGTAGATTATCCAAGTTAAAAACATCATTTCATAGTAATTGGCTGACATTTAAAAGCTGGAATTGTGTGAAAGCCCATTGCATTTATTTAATCACTATGGACTCAGTTTTGAGCAAATAACCAGATCTACCTTTTCTGTGTCAATCAGTACAACTCTGTATCCCTTTCATGTGCTCTTTTACAATTTTAGGCCAGATCCAGATTTTTTTTTGGTATTACCATGACAAGTCTGTTTACCTGAGCTAAGGTATATTTTTAGAGACACTATTTGGTTGTTTTAAAATNTGATGTTTTTTTTTTTTTTTTTTTTAAGTCTCTGGTGGTAACATGTCACATGGTATAGAGAAAATTTATAGTTAAAACAATACTTGAAGTCTAAGGTCCCATTTAACATTGAGATTCCCAAAGTCTAGAGATGTTCACATCTGAAACTTCCAGGGAGGCATATATAGAGAATAGAGGTCCTTTACCAAATCTTGAAAAAAAATGCACTTTTAGTGCTTTACACATCCACACATACTTCCTTCCATATTAGTGGCTTTACTGATGGGTTATTTTGTAGAGGTGTGTTGGAGACAGTTTGATGTTTGTATTAGTATTTGGTTTCATTCTACTTATATTGGCCTATCAGCTCAATTTCAAACAGGTTAGAAATCTTTTATTTTCCTCTAAAATCTGGGGACTACCAAGTTAACTTTTTAAATGAGAAAATTAGTAGTACAGATCAAGTTTGCTCCTGGATAGAAAAGATAAATGGTAGCAGAAAATAGTTGCTTGTTGTTAACAGTATTTTTGTAAAAGTAGTGAATATATAAGTATATGTGTAGCTGGTTCACTTTGCTGTACACTTGAAACTGGTATGACATTGTAAAAGCTATATTCCAATAAAAAAATTTAAAAATTGTTATATATACCTAGAAAAACAGTACTGATTCTTATTAATATGTTTAAAATTTATTATAAAATTGCATGTTTATATGTGATCTATATAGACCAGGATTAAGAAATACTTAGCTCATGAGAAGGGTGACTTGGCTTTGTAAATTCTGTTAGGGCAGGCTTCATGTTTTATTAGTTCTTTACATTCTTCTTATTATCACTATGCCTTAGATAAAGCAAGCATTCAGAAAATGTTTTTGAATGAGTGAATTATAATTAAATCAATACTACATTTAAGAGTTCCTGGTAATGCACAATAATTAAATAACCTTAGCACAGGGGAGTAGAATATATGTAATTCATGCTATTTTTGAATGGTGTTGTGTTTTATTATGAAGAAGAATTGCTATTAATTTTTCTGAAGACTTAAGATCTTCAGTTTGGGAAGATTAATACATAAAACTTAGTGTCAGTGAAATACTTTAGAACAGAGCAAGATGGGGAGGCCCTTGTAAATGACATTCACTTGAAAGACATTTGGGAACTCCCCTGAATCACCAAATGTTAGAAAGGAATGGATAATAATGAAAACTATTTAGCACATTAGGGTCAGAGCAAGCACCCTTTTCCAATAATCCAAGAGAAGACTCTCCACATGGACATCACCAGGTGTTCAATACCAAAATCAAATTAATTATATTCTTTGCAGGGCAAAGATGGAGAAGCTTATCAGGAAACAAAACCTGAAACTGACTTGGTCTTGATATGTCAAGATTGTACTTCATATCATGAACTGACTATACCTCATATCATGGGCTCCTTACTGCAAAATTCAGGCTTAAATTAGAGAAAGTAGGGAAACCCACTAGGCCATTCAGGTATGACCTAAATCAAATCCCTGTGATTATACAATAGAGGTGATGAATAGATTCAAGGGACTAGATCTGGTTGGGGGAAATCTGTATGCAGGTCAGGAAGCAACAGTTAGAACTGGACATGGAACAACAGACTGGTTCCAAATCAGGAAAGGAGTACATCAAGGCTGTATATTGTCACCCTGCTTGTTTACCTTATATGCAGAGTACATCATGAGAAACGCTGGGCTGGATGAAGCACAAGCGGAAATTAAGATTGCTGGGAGAAATATCAATAACCTCAGTTATGCACAACCCTTATGGCAGAAAGTAAAGAGAAACTAAAGAGCCTTTTGATGAAAATGAAAGAGGAGACTGAAAAAGTTGGCTTAAAACTCAGCATTCAGAAAACTAAGATCATGGCATCTGGTTCCATCACTTCATGGCAATAGAAGGGGAAACGATGAAAACAGTGACAGACTTTATTTTTTGGGGGTCCAAAATCACTGCAGATGGTGACTGCAGGTATGAAATTAAAAGACACTTGCTTCTTGGAAGAAAAGTTATGACCGACCTAGACAGCATATTAAAAAGCAGAGGCATTATTTGCCAACAAAGGTCCATCTAGTCAAGGCTATGGTTTTTCCAGTGGTCATGTATGGATGTGAGAGTTGGACTGTAAAGAAAGCTGGAAAAAAAAAAAAAAGAAAGCTGAGTGCCAAAGAATTGATGCTTTTGAACTGTGGTGTTGGAGAAGACTCTTGAGAGTCCCTTGGACTGCAAGGAGATCCA